AAAAATACAATTTTCTATTCATAACAGCTTTCATCCCTTTATTTGATGGGCATAGATCTGTCCCAGGTCTTAGATGTACACTAGATGCAGTGAAATCTGTGGGCTAAGCAGCGGTATCTTCAGTTTGTTGTGACAAAACTCCTCTCTCCTCACCCTAAAACTTCAGATACTGTTGACTGAAGTGCCATTTATGACCATAGGAACCGTAATGTCTAAAGCTTTTATCACTATTATTCAGGTGTTGGAAGCAGACTGAAACCCTGAGAAACCAGACCGATACTTATGTTATAGGTCCAGAATTCTGAGATGCAGTTGGTCAGGTATAGTTTGTTTCCATTCAAGAAAATTCAATCCATGCTGGTAGTTTGTTCCATTGGGAGAGGAAAATGTTGGCAGAACAGAGAATCCCTCTGCTCCCGGGCTCCCTCCATATCTGATAAGATTGCAAGTTTTGTTTGGCTTTGCAAATGAAGAATGTTTTCTCATGCAGATTGTACCAACATGCATACATATGGAATACTTAAGAGGGTATTCACTGAGTAATCTATGCCTCATAAAGCTTGGAGAGGTCAGATGGGATACAAAGAAAACAGAAATTAAGTCTTGTTAATGATATAGTTAGTAATTCGTGCAGATAAAATATATAACTGTATGAAATATATATACCAAACCAACTGTACATAGAGAAAGGGGGGGAAAGAATTCCATTCTCAGGATGATGAAACCGCAGCAGGCTGGCAAGGAGACACTATGACATTTACATGCGAAGGAAACTTCGGCTGCACAAGAGATGGGCATTCATGGAGGCATGTATCCAGTGACGCCCAAGAGATGATGGCCCGGACGAGATACCTATCTGAGATAACCGGAGCCATCAACACCTGCTGCCTGAATACCAGATTCCGGGAATCGGGGAAGTGCATTAATCAATTCCCGGAGGAAGGCTTTGTGCAGCCCGGACAGAAGAAAGGACACAACTTGAATATGAAGAACTCTGAAAAGAAACAAAGGGATTCTGCCACGGGCAAAATAAAAGAGGACAAAGAACGGCTACCTCAAAAGGGCTAGTGTGGACGAGGTGGATCTGGTGCTCTTGAGACCAGATCTAAGTCCAGCCAGCCTAACTCCCAGGGGTGTTGCGCTGTCCGTTTGATTGTCGGCTGTCAGGACTGTCATGAATAAATTAATTTTTATTTTACTAGAATTAGAATTAGGCGTATTTCATTTTTACCTATAACAAGTCTCAAAAAGATGTGTACAATTTTCAAAATTAAGATTTTTTTTTTTTAGCTGAGAGGCAGCAAAATGAGACATTTTGAGCAAATATACTATATTTTTGCACTTATTTGTGTTAAATAAAGCTCTTTCATGTGTTACACAGATTAAATCAAGAGGGGCAGTAACTAGCATTTACAGTTCAGGTTGGCAAATTAAACCACAGTGCAGAGAGCTAGTGCAAAGTCCACTAAAATCTAGTTTTAAGATCTTGGTTTCTGCTGCCTGGTTTAACCCCTGTTAGTAACACTCAAATTCTGATTTTCATTTCCTTTGCTTCTGAACTAATTTTGAACAAATCCCGTTATTTGAAGAAGGAAAGGACTTCATCTCTGTTTACTAGTTTACAGTTATCAAGGGAAACTCACCAACTTTTGCTTCTAAGTACCTTCTGTTTTTATTAGAGGATTAAAAAAAATATTTTCCCCAAATAACCTATGCACCAAGTGTCTTTGCCTTGTGTGTATTCTTCACAGAACTGAAGAACTTTTATGATGTAGGTCAGGACTGTGACATTGCAAACTAAAATACCACAACATGGAAGAAAGCCAGCATTTGTCATGAGTGTTTTAGAGAGTGGGTTGGAAAAGGAGAACAATAACTGACAAGCATGCCAGAACAAGAAAACGAAGCAAAAAATATTTTTTCCTGGGCTTAACTTGAGAGCTCTTGATTGGAATAAATAGGTGTGTGGTTTTTGTAAAAAAAAAAAGAAAAAGATGTGTGTGTATAAATGTGTCTGTGTATATCTATATATCTATCTAAATTCATATTAAATACATCCATGAGCTTACCATATAGCTTACTATGTAGGCTTCTGACAGTCATCTATGTAACATTCAGTAAATCTCCTAACATGATTATAACTTCATGCTATTTGCAGGATGTCATTGACTTAATTTTGCTGGTCTTTTCACCCTTTCTCCTCCATTTTGTAACGTAAGTACTGAACTAGGGTGAACAGGTTTTTTAGTATATTATTTTAGAGGTGAAGATTCTTCCCCATGTATATAGTTTGTGTTACACATAACCTGTGGAAAGCATGCTAGAATTTGTTACTTGATAAATCTGTAGCTTGAAAGTGATTCATTATAGTTATGTGGTTAAACTGCTTTTGCAAAAGCAATATAATAGTGATTGAGATTTGGACTTTGAAATGCACCTTCGGTAATAACTTGCTCATTCTTTGAAGATGGTTCTTGCTCTTAAAAGTCACATACTTCTTGCAAAAAGAGAATAAAAAGGAAGGAAGATAAAAATGAAATATGTATCTGGAAGTGGGAAAACAAAAATCACTGAAATGTAACTACTGGTTATCCCAGCCAATGAACTATTGTGTTTTGTGCAGGGGCATTATTGTGTTGCTATTAAGAGCAAGCAGGAACAGATTTTATTTTCCTAGCACCAGATATCCTGCCATTTGTTGACTTTTTTTTTGTTTGTTTGTCTTATAATTTATCTCATGTTACTCATTAACTGATGTGGCTGATGCTATAGTCATGTGAAGGAAAATTACCTGCAGATTCACTGGAATCAGAATTCTTCATAAAAGAAATTATTTTTAATCATTTTTTTCCATCAATATGGGACTTTTTCAAACTAAGGCTGAATGAAGGAAATATCACACCAGGAAAATGTTTTCATATTAACTATGTATGCAAGAACAGGTAATTTGTCTTTGAAGTAGTTGCTTGATTATTTGTGACTAAACTAACAATGTACCTCTCTGTCTATGTGCTGGGCACCAAAAAGGTAGCTCTTTCTTAAAAGGCAAAACATTCTTACATTCTGGTGTGGCTTGTTAATATGTGAATATTATTCTGTACAGAAGTACAGAAGCTAAATCCACCTTGGTGTGGAGCTATAAAATATTCCACTAGTGCATATGCAGTACACTTCTTACAAGAATAAAGAAACTATTGAAAGCTGACAAACCTGGTTATTGTAGATGTTTTTAAGATTAGCTGTAGCTTCAGTAGGTGGACCAGAAAAGTCCTTCTGAAATTTATTGTTTTGTGCGGTTGGTACAGAGTGTGTAACTTTTTAAACCAATGACTGAGACCTTTATACTTGGTTTCCTATCTCTGCGTTGTCACTGTATTTAAGTCTTGCTGTTTTACTTTTTAGCTCTGTACTTTTTCTATAAAACTTATTTTTTAGCATGTCTCAGACCTTTGAAAACTAGGAAAGAGACTTGGAGCCACTCACATATTCTCAAACTAGACTATTTGGATGTCATAATATCCTCTGTTATCTGTTAACAGGTTAAAAAACTCTCTTGCTTTTAGCCTGTGTCTGGGTTAACAGTGGAAGAATTTGCTTCAACTGCTCATGAGAACTGAAGCTGGAATACAGCAACGTCTTGATTATTTTGCTTCATCTGTGAAGAAATGTGCTATCTGTGTATATGGAATTAGAAGCAAAAAAGGTCAGTGCATCTTGGGTGTTCATTGAGTTTTGTAGCTCAAAAACAGCAGTAGGACACCAAAATCTTTGATTTCTGTAAAAAGGAAGTGCAGAAGACACAGAATCAGAAGAAGAAAATTTTTTGTAAAGTCACTTTGCTATATATAGCTGTTTCAAGTATAAGGGAGCTCAGGGAAGAAAAAAAATCAAGTGTTATTTTTAGTGCTAGCTCTCATCTTCTCACAGACCAGAGTTGCCTGAATAAGATGCCACTAATCTGCAGAGATCTGCAATTCTCTTTTTAAGTTCTTGTCCACTGGATGTCCCCAGTGTTCTTATGTCAGAAGAAAGGGGATTTTTCTTAGGCAGTGAGTCAGCTGTAATTAGCTAGCAAATTACAGCAGAACTGTGTTTTAGTTAGCCAGAGAGGTAAAGATATGCTTGATTCTTCAAGGGTTTTGATCAGTGGAGTGAAGGCAGACATCAGAGATTATATTTATGTATGTCAGTGATGACAATTTTATTCCATAGTGGTTCCAGTAATAATTACATGAGCATGTAATGTTAGTTCATCTCTTCCACTGCACTACACAGCCAGTCTGCCAACTCCTTTGGTGTTTCCAGTAATTCTTTCTTCCTGGTGTATGCAGTGAGAGGAAAGAAATTGAAATGTCATGTTTATCTATTTTAACTTTAGGTGTTGCTAATGAGAACACAAGCCAAACCATTTTATAAGTATGAGGTAATTCCATGGTCAGGACAACTGAGACAGTCTTTCCTCCCTAGATGTAGGTGTTCGTTGCTTGTGGTGGTGGTGCAGGGTGCATGTGTCTTTGATTCTTTCAGCTGGGCACTGTTCTGCTTGGTAGTTTGTCACTTTGCTTGAAAGGAGAGTTGGTGGTTGTAATTCAAGGTGACATATGAAGTTTTACATGCTATGTTAGGCAAGAGATCACCAAGGCAGATGATGTCCTATTGGAAAAGCAGGCAACCCCAGATGCAGGGAAGAATGAGGAGCAGGACTCCATGATATCAGAAGGCTAATTAATTACTTTATTATACTATATTATTCTATACTATATTACACTATATTACACTGCATCTAAGCTGAAGCTGAACAAGAACTCAAGAAAATCTCATGACTGTCCCCTGACTGACCGTCGGGACACAGCTTGCAGGGATTGGTCAAGAAAATAAAACACTCACACCAGAATCCAATTACCAAATCCCTTCAGGTAAACAATCTTCCATAATGCATTCCACTTGTGCATAAACATAGGAGCAGCAAATGAGATAAGAATTTTGATCATTCTTTTCTCTGCTTCTCCAGGAAAAAACCTGAGAGAGAGAATTGTTTCTATCTTTTCAGAATCCTACAATGTCCTTGCTTCCCGCAATAGGCATGTTATTATGACAGGTTAGTTAACATCTTCCATGTATGGGTGTTTGGTTGGACAGAGTAGCGAATCATGAGTTGCAGTCACAAAATGAACTGCAGAGGTGCAGCATATTAAAACCTTGGACTTGACCCCACTGAGGAGTCAGAGGGGAGAGCAGACAAAGTGCAAGAGTTCAATCTGTCCTGTTTTCTTTAAGGGTAGTCTAGAGATCATGAGTGAGCTGGGAGTTGAAGAAACAATGTGCTACTTTTTTTTTCCCCCTTTCTAGGAGTAATTTATGATTTAAGAAGCACTGACAATTGGAGATCAGTCTTTTTCATAACCATATATGGAGGCAAATGCTGTCTTTTCCATGCTAGTAGTTAAAAGCTGTTCCTGAGTGTTTAAGCTGGAGTTGGTTGTCCTTGTGTAGTCAGGTAGTAGCCCCTTTGACTCTTTGCCTGTGATGTGTACAGTTTTGATGTTTCTTTTTGTTCTTGCAGCTTGTTCTGTTGCATGGGCTGCATCTTCATTGTAACATTCTAAGGATCACAAATGACCTGAGTATGAGGCCCCCTGTACTCAGTAACCCACTCTGTATACCGTGAATTGAGTCATGATAGGAGTGTTCAGAACATCATAGCAGCTGTTCTGAAAGAAAACTCCACCTTTGTTGTCCAGGTGTTGCTGCAGAGTTTCTGGCTCCACTCTGCTGGCTGAGAGACAAATCTGTCTGTCCTGGAGAGCCATAATTTTGAAGGTGACATGGTAAATGAAACAGTTTTCACTGGGGTTAACCTCAAGGTACTTGTTAAAGTGAGCATTCATGATGACTTACTGAAGCTTAGCTGAGTGGTGTAAAGGGATGAACCTACAGTCTTTAGACTGTATGTGTGAGATTTGAGGGTGCCTGCTATATGAGACTGTAGAAGTAATCTAACTCTTGGTTTTCCCTAGATCATAATGCAATCCAAGTTAGTAATGCTTTTCCTGGCTTTCTTTGTGTTTTGGTTCCTGAATATCAAAATACGGGGGTTTGGGTTTTTTTGATGTGATGTATACAGACTATGTTCTTCATAGGAAGTGTTTTTAATTTGGAGGCAAATCTCTGAAGATATGAGTCCACAGAATATCTGTTTTTCTTCCCCTGCTAAACCCATGACCCAAAGTCAGTTCCAGAACAAGGGTAAGGTGTTGGGAACTGCTGAAGTTCTAGATTTCTTGAAAAACAGAATATTTACTCATTAACTAAAACTGAGGTGATGATTAAAGGCTAACCCTTCATGTTTCCCTGTATATGTGACGTGAGGGAAGGCATTACTCTTCACCTGGTTTAATTGGTTAGAGTATGTGAGCAGGGCACTGAGTTTGCATTGAGCTAGGCTAATGTTTTAGGGAGCTGAAAGTAGATAGTACAGCTGACAGCAGCAATAGATGCTGAGGTTCTGTGCCTGATCTGATTGGTGCTTCTTTGACTGTCTGGACAGAGCTCAAACAATGCAGCTGGGACATCTCCAAAGGTACTATCTTTTTTTCCTTAATCATAATGTTTTATTCCCGGTGGTGACACCCTGCTTTCTTCCAAGTAGCTATGAGCTGGTAAGTATTTTTGGCACTACTGATATCCATCAGGTTTTATTAGGTTATAGGTTAGATTATTCTTGTAGTCTCCGGTAACCTCTTATTATTTCAGTACTGTGCTATCACCTTCCTCTCTGAAGGCTTGACAAATTGGTTGGCTTGGATTGGCAAATTGAAGGCTTGGTCTATTCCTGAAGCTTGTTACTGTGTGCTGTCCCATGCAGGAATCCACATGTTTTATGCTTTTATTTGTGTGTTTTAAATATAAAAAATACTTCAGTAATTATTTGTTTCAACATACTCATGTTTCATGCCAATTTGGAAGTACAAGTACTGTAAGATTTATTGGGACCTGTTATTTTTTTGTTCCTGATGAAACCCATACTTGCTTAGGATAGGAAAACCTTAAGCCTTTTCTGGCTTGCAATACTGTATTTGGTTGTTTTAGCTCCAAGGATGAGTGATGCTAGGAAGATGGATTCTAACAGTTACTTACTGAACCAGCACTGGCAGCTGCTAGTATCATTACTAGGACTAAGCAGCCACCAGCTGATGCACAAGTGTCAGCCAAGAACTCTATGTATTTTAGATAAATGATACAACCACTGGCAATTAGCAATCCTACATCTCACTTCTGCATTGCTGTGTGAATTGGCCAAGTTACTTTGTACATTTTTGTGTCTTGATTTCCCTGTGGGAAAAATAGAGGGAATGGTACTTACCTATCATGAGCCATAAAAGTCAAAAAGTGCTTTTAAAACTATTATCCTGTAAAGCAAAGCCTGGAAACTGAAATCAGTAATTTCTGGTATTAGGAGGAATGTGAGTATCAATTCATTGGAGGTCTCTCCTAGATTTGATCCAGTAAATTTATGAATTAACCCATATAGGAGTCTGAGGATCTTGTATAGCATCACTGCGAAATTTATAAATAGAAAATAAACCCTTTCTTTGTAGCTCACAGTATTAGGGGCATACTGGCAACAGCAGTTGCTCTTGTGCACACAACCCAAGTATTGATTCTGAAAAGGAAAACCAGTTACTGTGGTTCAGAAGAAATTTTAAACATATAGCAACCTGTGGGATATGTTACTAGTTGTTAATAATTCTGATTGAAGTTGGTTTGTGTGAACTTGGTTTATGTGTACATGGGGCAACGGAGATAATGTAGTCCCAATGGACTCTGACCTGGTGGCACATAAAGAGTGTAGATGGCATAACTGGCCTAACCTGTTTTAGTTTACTAGCAGGATTGTGGACTGAGGTGTATTCAGTCACCAAATAAACATTTACTAGTTTGGGCAGAAGGAGTGGAATTGTATTTAAATTTCTTGCAGGGATATCTGTAGGTGAAATATTTTCACTACACAGTATACAATATGTCTTATTTCTGAGAGTGAGACTGAGTAGGCTTGCTTTTGGTGTGAAATGTGGTGACATTTTTATATTAGGAGTCTTTGTTCAGCACCAGTAAATTTTATCTATTTAGTGAAGAGTTCTGTTGTTCTGAAGGAGAAATAGCTGCAAGCAGTTTCTTTTACAACTGTTTTGAGTGTAAAGTTTTGACAAGATCAAGTAGTTGAAAGGTTTAGACAATAGGGAGGGTAACATCTATTGAAATTAAACAAAACTTTGTGGCATCATAATCTCCTGCTGAACCATGGATTTATCCCCATTCACTCCAGCTAAGGAATACCTTTTAGTCTTCACATGAATAAACAATACATATGCCTTCTTTAAATCAGTGTTGCATCTATTTAATCAATGTAAAGGTTGCCTATATCGCGCTCCTTAAACTGGCTTATAGCAAGATAGTAGTTAGACTCTCAGTGAAATATTTCTTGGAAGACTATTGAACCCTGATGAAATTCACAGATGTTCTTTTTCTTCAAAATGTGTGTTTTATTGAGTATTTTCTTTTGTCTTGTTACCAAACTGGCCCTTCACATTTCTCATGAACCACACGTCTTGAAGCTTTGTAATGACATCAGGAGCCTAATATATCAACTCAATGCAGCTGTTTGGGCTTTCAGGTGGTAAAATATAAAGTAGTTCCTGTGTT